TATTAATACATGTCTAGTGAATAAATATTGGTACTCTTAAGAGTCCTAAAAATTTGTGTGATTACATCTGTTATCCCCATTGGTCAGGTTTTCATATGGAGTCCCAGTTATAAAACTTGGACCAGCCAACTTTGACACATGATTATTTGTTTCTTTGTGCCTTTTTCATTTCACAAATCTTTTCTTTTGTACCTGTTTTAGGCTCTAAAGGAGAATGAGATTAAAATGAATCCTCCTCAAATGGATTACTTGGATATAACTATAAGAAACAATTTTATACACTTAAGATTTTGAAGAATATTTTAAAAGTCCTGCTAATTTTTGTATAAACTTACAATGTTTTTGTCATTTTCAAATGACTGTATATGTATACAAAATTGCTTTGAATTTTGAACTGATGATATATAATCATTTCTGAATAAGTACCTACAGAAGGGAGATTATCTACATCTAGATAAGGTTTTTAGTTTATAATTTGAACATGAACATCCAAAGGCTGAATCCTCTTGATTCATCAATTAAACTAATAAAACCTTATGTGAAGATGTTTGCTTCAACTCTTTGTTGCTGTTCCTTCTGTACTGAACACAAACTTCATCTCCTGCTGCAATAATTGGTTCACAACGTTCCTACATCATTTCCTGAAAGCATATATTGTCCAACTAAAAGTGAACACGACTAAACTATCTTAATTGTTGACAAAACAGCAAAAATATCCAATGCCAGTTTTCCACATTAGATTTCGCAAACACAATCTTATTAAGTGGAGTGACAACGTGAATGAGATTTTCAAAGTTTTATTTTCAGATTTATTATTCAGATAATCCACACCTGTGTTTTTGAGCCCATTCACTTTTTAAAAATTTTATTTTATTTTTTATCTATTTTGACAGAGAGAGAGAGAGAGGCAGTGTGAGTGAGGCAGGGAGAGAGAGAGTGAGACAGAGTGCCAGAGAGAGAGAGAGAGAGAGAGAGAGAGAGAGAGAGAGTGAGTTAGTTCCAAGCAGGCTCCATGCTGTCAGCACAGAGCCCCCTACGGGACTCCATCCCACGAACCATGAGATCATGACGTGAGCTGAAATCAACAGTGCACTCAGCCTACTGAGTCACCCAGGTGCCCTGAGCCCATTTGCTTCCTACAGATACATTTTTGGAATTGCAAAGGACCTTAGAGATCATAATGTGATCTATACGAAGTCAAGCATTTGAAGTTTCTTGACTCTCTTTTCATTATATTGTGCTTCCTCTAACTTAATAGATGATTTTAAGTTGGATAGCATTTACATTTATAAAAATCTTTGCTAATGCTTTCTTTTAAAAAATTCATGGTACTGTTAAGTAATTTGCTTTACATGGAAAAATGAAAGGTCTTTTATCTTTAAAATATCAACTGATTATGTAAGTTCCTTCCTTTTATCTTGACGTTGTTTTGCTCTTTTCACATATCAAGATTTCATACACACTTTTAATGTACCAATACCACACACTCACATATGTCATTTTAATGGCTTTTAACATTCTATCATGTTATATAGTTTGGCCATTTCTAAGTTATTAGGCATTAAGTCGTCTCCTATTTCTATTAACATTTTTGGATTATCTTCTTGGGATATACTCCCATAAGTTGTACTTGTTCAAAAGAAAATAGTTTTTATGTTTTCTGCTGTATATAAGTAGATTGCTTTTTTAGAAACATTTTTCAAATTACACATAATAAGCAATGTATAATTATATCTGTTTCCTCATAGACCTGCTAACATTAAGTTTAAATAAGATTTCAAAGAATAAAAAAGGTGTTACTAATTTTTTGATAAAGATACTTTTAAAATGTTTTTGTTGTTTTGAAATGACTATATATGTATAAAATTACCTCTAAACTTTTGAATTTTGGTGTGAATTTTAATTTATTTTTATTAATTTAGTTATTTCTTAAAATTTTATAAAATCAGCTATTTCCACATTATGGATAACTCATTACTTGCTCTCCTTTGTCCGTAGATAGAAACAAGCAACACTGAAAGAAATAAAATTGCTATTTTAGCAAATCCTATCCCCATCAACAAAGGATTCTTTAAAGGAATGTGATAAACCACAACCATATCTTTTTTATTTTTCATAGCTGAAGGACATTTTTGGATGAAAAATATACTTGTGATTTCATGGCTTCCTTATTCTACTTGCAGGATATTTCATTACTATGCAGATTACACTAAGTTTCCAAAATATAAAATTGGTTCCTTATTGCTTATAATGTTACCTATTCATCGGATTTCTTTCTTTCTTTTTTTCCTTCTTTCTTCCTTCCTTCCATCCCCTTCCTTCCTTCCTTCCTTCCTTCCTTCCTTCCTTCCTTCCTTCCT